CTTTGATCGGGCGAGCAGGGCAACTCAATTCATAACCTTCCCCTCCTGTACCTAAGTTCCCGAGCCGAGACAATCTTGGTGATGACGGACACGTGGCCTTTGGCATGAGTCATGGGTTTTCTAAATTTCTCCAAAATAAAATATTTAGGCGGCGATTCTGTATCTGGCAAAGCAGTCCATTTTTGGCAATTTGATTCAAAATCAATTTTTCAAAAGATTTGCCGGATTTGGACTCTTTGGTGTTTATCAATTTCACATTGCACTTATGAGATTAGATTCAAAACCGCGGAAGTCCAAACTGTAGGGCTTATTTTCAAACTTCAAAAAGGAGGGCGCGAAAAAGTTGAGCTACAACTTCGAATTCAAAGGCTTTTTTCGATGGCTAATCGCGCCAAGCACAAAAGGCGCTCCAAATTTGGAGGCTTTTTTTCAATGGTCAATCGCGCCAAACACGAAAGGCGCTACAAATTCAGAGGTTTTTTTCGATGGTCAATCACACCAAGCATGAAGAGCACTCTTAATTTGAAGACTGTTTTTAATGGCCAATCGTACCAAGCACAAAGGACGGTTCGAATTCGGAGGCTTTTTTCGATGGCTAATCGCGTCGAACATGAAGGGCACTACGAATTCGGAGGCTATTTGAGATGGTGATTAAAGAAAAGAGATAAATAATCAGAAATGACATGATAAATTGCATCATTGGATAACTATATACATAGACAAAGTGAACTCGTAAACCCAAGTGCACAACTGCACAAATGAGGCAAAAACAAAAATAACCAGAAATATTAATGATAAAATTTGCGCAAATGAGTAATTTCTTGTCGTTCATGTCCGAGAGTCGGTATGCCCCTGTGCCGACAATTGAATCGATTTGGCAAGGGCCGTCCCAATTGGGGCTGAGTTTTCCATTTTCAGGATTTTTAGCAGCTGGAAGTTCTTTTTCAAGACCAACTCTCTAGGGTTGTATCAGCGTAAATGCATTCTCTGATTATACGACTTGGCAAGTTGTTGTTAATATCGTGCCATATTCACGAAGGCCCGGTCTCAGTGCTTTTCAAATAGATTTAGGTCCAAGGCCAACATCATATCGTTTCGACCCGTGTCAAAAACTTTTGATTTCAAGGTTGGGAGGCCGATCTCCAAGGGGATGATTGCTTGATTTTCGAAGCACAAAGTGAATGGCGTTTCTCCAGTGGACCGTCTCAGCGTAGTGCGATGTGCCCACAATACACTCGGCAATTCTTTGACCCATCTGCCTTTAGCTTTCTCCAGCCTCTTCTTGATGCCATGCAAAATGGCTTTGTTGGAGGCTTCAGCTTGGCCATTACTCTGTGGATAAGATGGGGTGGAGAAATATGGCCGAATACCATACTTGTTGCACAGTTCTCAGTAGATACCGTAATCAAATTGGGTGCCATTATTTTAAGCTATATTATAATGGCAAGGATAGACACAGGAGTGTGGTAAGAATAATACTTGTCAAAAGTCTTGTAGAAAATGTAGTTGCGGTTATTAGGAAAGGTGATAGGATTATGTTGGTTAAACTAGTTATTGAAGAGAATATAGTAAATGTTATTAGTGCATACGCCTCCCAGGTAGGATTAGATATTCAAACTAAGAGAGTTTTTTGGGACCAAATGGATGAAGTATTACATGAGATACCCGTAGGAGATAACCTAGTCATAGTTGGTGATTTCAATGGCCATGTACGAGTAGATAAACTAAGTTATGAGAGGGTGCATACTAGGTATGGCTTTGGTGATAGAAATGAGGCTAGAGAGAGCATTTTAGAATTTGCATTAGCTTCTGACCTACTGGAGGCCAATACTATATAAGAAGAGAAAGGAGCATTTGATAACCTTCAAGAGTGGGTCAATTAGGAGCCAAATAAATTACTTTTTAGTAAGAAAATGAGATCGTCTAAAATGCAGCGATTGTAAGGTGATTCCTAGAGAGAGCTTGATATCTAAACATAGGATTTTGGTATTAGATCTATACTTTAAAGGGCAATACCAAGCTTAGAAAGATAGTGGGCATCGTTGGACTAGATGGTGGGACCTAAAAGGAGATAAATTAGACACATTTACGAATAGAATGGATAAATAAGGTATTTGAGACTTGAAAGATGATGCTAACACTATGTAGAACTTGATACTCAATTGTATGAGGAGAATCTCAAGGGAAGTTCTTGGAGAATCGAAAGGAAAAAGACCTAACTTTAGGGAAACTTGGCGATGGAGGGAGGAGGTCCAAGCGGTAATAAAGACAAAAAAAGAAAGCTTTAAAAAGTGGCAAAAGATAGAACTAAGGAAAACCTTAAGTGTTACAGATTAGCTAATAAGGAGATCAAAAAAGTAGTGAGGGAGACTAAGTTAAAAGCTTATGATAACTTATACACTAGACAAGATAGTAAGGAGGGAGAGAAGATGATATACAAACTTGCTAAGATAAGAGAGAGGAAAACTAGGGCTGAGTAAAGAATCCGTGAAATCCATAATCTGATCTAGTCCAGTCCAATCCGATAGGTTTGGATTGGTTTTTTGAATCCGTGGTCGGTTCCGGATTGAAGAATTAAAAATCCGTAGTCCACGGATTGGTTCCAGATTGGACCCCACGGTTCCGAATTGGAACCGATCCGGACCGTATGCAAATAGTCTATATTTTTATTATACATCCTTCCTCATAGTATCTTATCTTATTCTATATAAAACCTAAACCCATATAATATCTTCTTTTATTATTTTTGTTTGTTAATTTTTAGTTTTAATTTATAATGATCTAAATTTTTATGGTAAAACCAATTTTCTTAGGGTTGTTTAAATTTTAGAACAGTATGTCGCTATTATAGAAAAACATGTTGCTATTGTGGAACTAATATAGCGCTATATTTATGTTTTTATGAAATTAAAGTGTTATATATATATATTTTTTAGTTATTTAATTATGTGAATCCGTGGTCCTAAACCGATCCTATCCATGTTTAAATGGATTGGTTCCGATTGGTTCCATAATTTAAACGGATTGGATTGATTTCAATTTTTTAGGAACTGCCGATAACGGATTGGTCTTGATTTTACCCCAATCCGGTCCAATCCGGTCCAATCCGGACCATGCTCACCCCTAAAGAAAACAAAAGATTTTAATTAGGTTAAGTGCATCAAGGGTGATGACTCTAAGGAGATGATGAAGAATGAAGAGATTAAAGAGATCTGGAAGAACTATTTTGAGAAGTTGTTACATGAGAAACATGGAGGAAGGTCAAAAGGAGATGAAGTATACAGTAATAAGGAAAACCAAGACTATAGGTTCTATCGTAAGATTAGAGACTTTGAAATGGAGTTTGGACTTAAGAAGATGAAATTGAATAAGGCTTTAGGACCCAATGATATACCTATTGAAGCGTGGAAATATTTGAGTAAGAAAGGGGTTGTTTGGTTGACTAGGTTATTTAGTAAGATTTTGTTAACTAGGAAAATGCCAAAGGAGTAGAGGAAGAATATTTTAGTGCTAATATATATAAGAATAAAGGAGATGTCCAGAATTGCAACAACTATAAAGAAATCAAGTTAATGTGTCACACAACGAAAATGTGGGAGATAGTGATGGAATGTCAATTGCGAGATATAACAGAGGTGTCAAAGAATCAATTTTGGTTTATGTCTGATAGATCAACAATGAAAACGGTCTATTTTTTTAGGAGAGTAATAGAAAAGTATAAAGAAAAGAAAAGAGACATTCATATGGTTTTTATCGATTTGAGAAAGCATATGATAGAGTTCATCGGGATATAATCTGGTGGATGTTAGAGAAGAAAAATGTGACAAAATGTTACATTAATGTGATTAGAGATATGTATGAAGGTGTAGTGACCACTACTAGATCGTCTGCTGGAAAGACGAGTGAATTTTCAATTACTGTAGGGTTACACTAAGGATCAACCTTAAGTCTTTATCTTTTCACTTTAGTTATAGATGAGTTGACGAACAATATTCAGGATGATGTGCCATGGTGTATATTTTTTGCAAATGATATTGTTAGTGAATGAAAGTAGAGAAGGAGTTAACACTAAGTTGGAGATATGGAGAAAAACACCTGAATCTAAAGGATTTATGATCAGTAGAACTAAGACAGAGTATATGGAGTGTAATTTTAGTAACAATCACAATGAAAGCACATGAGAAGTGTAAATTGAAAACCAAGAACTACCTAAGAGTGAACATCTTTATTATTTAGGATCGATTGTCACAACGACTGGGAGATTGGAGTAGATATGATCCACATAATTAAGGCGGGATGACTTAAGTGGAAGAGTGTGTCTAGAGGACAATGCGATAATCGAATACCCATTAAACTAAAATGGAAGTTCTATAGAACGACTATTAGGCCAGTGATATTGTATGGGACCAAATATTTGGCAACTTAGAAACAATATATAGATAAGACGAGTGTTGTTGAGATGAAGATAAGGATGTTAAGGTGAATGTGTGACAAAATTAGAAAAAACAGAATTAAGAATGAGTATATTTGAGAATGGGTAGGAGCAGTACCGATATAAAATAAGTTAAGAGAAAATAGATTGAAATGGTTTGATCATTTACAATGGAGACCAACAAAGGCAATACTGAAGAGATGCGACACAGTGACGGTAGATGGTAGTGTTAAAGAAAAGAGTAAACTTAAATTGACATGGACTAGTATAGTAAATAGAGACACAAATATTCTTAATTTGACTATCGAAATCGCTTGAATAGAGTCAAGTAGAGAGGAAAAATTCATACAATGCAGCCAACCCCCATTTGATGAAGTTAAGACTTGATTTGGTTTGGTTTGATTTAGTTTGGTTTGATTTGCTTTTGACTTCTAACCTAATTGTCAAATTAGGCCAAAATCGATAAAAATTATAATTAATGATTAAAGGGTTGTTTGGCAACCTATGAAAATAACATATTTATTGCATTTTTATTTTATTTAGATTACATTACTGTTTATTTAAAGGAAAAATTACCAGTAAATCCTATATAGTAGAAAGTTAAACCATTTAGTCCTATAAGTTTTCTTATGCACCATTTAGTCCTCTTTTTACATCACAACATTATCATCAAAACAACATCATCATCAAAACAACTTCACAACATCATCATCCCTTTCTCTACCTTAGAAAGATGATCACAGTAATAATCAATCCGTAGATACCCAACACACCAGCCATAACCACTGGAACAATCGACTTCATCACAAGCTCTGGTCTCATCACACCCATTGACGCCACTGCAACGCCACTCTTCGCTGTCCCATACGCAGCCCCCATACCTAAAAAACATATCCATATATAAGAATTGCAGATCCAAAAACAAAAAGAAGAACAAGAACAAGAAGAAGAAGATCAAGTTCAAATTGAAATCGGACAAGGGAGATTGAGAGTTGGTGGTGTTACAGGAGAAAACTAGGGCAGATGCAGCGCCGAGGAAGCCGAAGAATGGTGCCGTTTCATCGCCGCTGAAGGTTGAAGCCATTGTTGTTGTTTTGTTGTTTCAAGGGTTTGGAATTTGCAGAGAATTCGATCGGATCTGAGAGAGGGAACTGCGGATTGGAAAGGTCGGATTTTTTTTTTTGGGACTGAGATTGGGCTTAGGGCTGGGTGGAGATGGACAAGACTGATCTTGAAGAAGGGGAGGCTTATCCTCCTTACCCGAATAATGATCGAAACATCAATCTTGATGAAGCTTTCTCTTACATTGTAAGGGTTTCCTCAAGATCCTGATGGTGTTGTTGATGATGGCGGAGCCGCCATTGTTGGTGAAGTAATCGAATCGAATCGAATACGGTGAAGTAATCGAATCGAAGGTCCGTTTGATCCACACGTCGCAGAGATCGGATCTGTTCCGATTCGGCTTTGTCGACCTCTCATGATTTGTGTTATAAATCTAATGTTTTAAACATTATTGTAATTTTTCACGATTTTTGAAATCTGATATTTGAAATCTGATTTCAAACATTGTAATTTTTGTTGTATCGCCGGTGGGATTCAAAACCCAGATTTGATGATGTTTTGTTCATATGTTCTGACGTTGATGTTCATGATGGTAAACATTAGATTATTGAAATTTGATGTTCATGATGGTAAATGAATCTGATGTTTCATTTTATAATTTCAGTCAATACCATGTTGGGGTTTTCCTCATTTACCCTTACTAAAAAGCATAAAACATAGTGTAACACTGGTTATTTTGTCATTAACATTAGCTTGGGACTAATTAGATCATAAGATAAAATATAGGACCAAATGGGTCATAAGATAAAGATTTGAGATTTAGTGGTGCATCACCCATTGGGACTAATTAGATCATAAGATAAAATATAGGACCAAATGGGTTATAAGATAAAGATTTGAGATTTAGTGGTGCATCACCCATTTTTAATTTATCAAATACATTAATATTAAATGTTATATTGCACATAATTATCATATGATTTATATGTGCATTGTTAGAAGAAAAAAAAAATATGAATTTCATATTATAACTTCAAACGAGTTTCCACAAGCATTGCGTATACCCAGTCGCTAATATAAATATATACTATCACAATATCTATACTATGCACATACATAAATAAATAATAAAAAAATTAAATAATAGCATAAGATTTGTTTAAAATATATAAAAGTAATAATTTAGAATCAATTAAGTTTTAACATTTTTGAAATTATTTTTATAATTTTAATTGTGTGTTCTAGGTTATTAGAAATAAAAAAATTCATATCATAGTTTAATTAGCAAAAAAATAAAATAAAATAAAATAGAAAATAATAATAAATTACAAATATTACATTTATGATAAAAAAAAATTAATACGTTTTCTCCTATAAGTTTTGTAATTTTAGTTTAATTCACCCGATAATATGGTAAATCACATTTGTCAATGTATTAATTAGTCTTTGTCAATGTAGGTGCTCAAGAATACAATGACAATGAATAATAATGGTAGACCATGAGAGTTGAGTGATTAATTTGGTTTGATAGAGTTGGGTGTTCAATTTTGAGTTTTTATTTTTATTTTTTTATTTTTTTATTTTTTAAGAGTAGGTATTTCATTTCAATTTGTGTTTATTATAATAATTTTAATTAAAGTTATAATTTTAGAAAAATGGTGATGGCTATTAGCGCCACTTTTTTATTTATAGTAATGCTAGTCTTCAGGAAAAGGCTTCAGGAAAACCTTCAGGAAAAGGTGGGTCCCACCTGGCAAGGAAATTGCTAGTTTAAGAAATAAAAAAAAGTTCTGAGTCTCATGTTTCAACTCTCTCACCACTCTAGCTCACATTTCAATTCTCTCACCACTCTCTCGCTCAGCTCTCACCCGCAAGCTTGCTGCCGCCGGTCACTGCCGTCGACGTCTCCGTAACTGCTGAGATTTCCGTTTGATTTCTCCGTCACTCTCAGATTTTTGCTGCGATTTCAGTCTCTAATCCCACCATTCTTGCAAGAACACCGAAGGTAAGATTTGCAACCAAAATCTGAGTGTTTGTAGTTGTTTTACCAAGCTTGATTTTGTATCCTACCTTCTTTGTGCGATTTTGGGATTATTTTTTTCAAACCCTAGAATTTTGAATTTTGGGGCTTTTGAAAATTTTTGTTGTCTCTGAATCTTTCAATGAAAGAGATGTTGTGGATTGCATAGGTTATATAACTCAATTTTCGTTTTAATTTCTGTTACCTCTAAATTTGAATCTTTCAATGAGATTTTGTGGATTTACTTTGTTTCATGTATGAAAGCCTAGAAATTGCATAGGTTAAATTTTGGGGGTTTTTGTTCAATTTTGAAAATTTTTGATGCCTTATACCACCAATGTATATATTTCAAGGCACAAATTATTATTTTTAAATAGTCTCAGTTTAGTTATTGGTTGTTTATTTATTTTTGTTTAAGAACTAAATTAATTCCTGTTTATTTATTTCCTTTTTATTTATTTTTGTTGAAGAACTTTTTAATTTGTTATATATATATATATATTGTAGAGATATGGATGAAGAAATATGGAGTGGTTCTTCAAGTGAGGGCATTAATGAAATTAATATTGAGAATGAAATGGAGGAAACAGAAAATGTAGAAGTCGAAACTGAAAATGTAGAAGTTGAAACTGAGGATCCTAAGGTGGGAATGATGTTTAAGTCAAGTGATGAAATTTATGAATATTATGCAACATATGGGAAGAAAAATGGTTTTGCGGTGTCTAAGAAAAATTGTAAAAAGGGAGGCGATGGGGAGAAAAAATATATAACTCTTGCTTGTACTCGTGCTGGGAAGGCAATAATCAAAACAAGCAATCCAGTTAAATTACGGCCACAAACAAGAACGGGATGCAAAGCTTGCATTAATGCAATTCTACAACCGATGGAATGTGGCTATTGCGATCCTTAGTACTTGAGCATAACCATAAAATGAGTCCAACCAAATCTCGTTTTTTCAAGCAAAATAGGATACTTGAGCCGCATGTGAAGAGGAGACTTGAATTAAATGATAGAGCGGGGATTAGGATGAACAAAAATTTCACTTCACTTGTGTTGGAAGCTGGAGGGCGTGAGAAGTTGTCATATTTAGAAAAAGATTGTAGGAATCATATAGACAAAGTTCATCGTTTACGACTTGAGGAAGGAGATGCCACTGCAATGTATAATTATTTTGTGAAAATGCAAGGTGATAATTCAGACTTTTTTTATGTCATGGATTTGGATGGAAATGGTCGATTACAAAATGTATTTTGGGCCGATGCGAGGAGTAGAGCAGCATTTAAAGAGTTTGGGGATGTGGTCACATTTGACACAACATACTTGGTAAATAAATATGATATGCCATTTGCCCCATTTGTTGGTGTGAACCATCATGGACAGTCGACATTGTTGGGTTGTGGACTCATTTCACATGAAGACACAGAGACATTTACATGGCTATTTCAGTCTTGGCTTGCATGCATGTCTGGATGCCCTCCCAATGCTATTATTACAGATCAAGACAAAGCCATGAAAAAAGCCACAGAGATTGTTTTCCCTAATGCGCGTCACCGATGGTGTTTGTGGCATATTATGAAAAAATTGCCTGAAAAATTGAGAGGATACAAGGAATATGAAGCAATAAAATTTGGTATTCAGAATGCAGTTTATGATTCATTAACTACAGAAGAATTTGAAGAAAATTGGGGTAAGTTTTGTTGCAGATTGTTGATTCAATCATATCTCATGATAGTTTCTTAAATAATTGCTTTATAGAGCATAGTGTTGTTGGGATCTGTTCCCAGATAAACTCCAATGTGCACTTAAAGGCCTGCTCATGATTCATAGATGATTATATTCTTGACCTCATAATTGCAAAATTACATAGACAATTTACACTAACAGATTTTATGTAGAATATAGAAACTTTCTCATTACATCTTATGAAATGGATTTAATTTCTTTATTTCAGTGCAAATATCATTTCATCATTTAAATATGGTTATTATTTTCTTCGTTGTACGATCAATATTTCATTATGTTCTCTAAAATGAGTTGGAACATGATGATGATGCAGGACACGGTAATGCTTGGTGCAGACAACTATGAAACCAATGCTGAAATTGCAGCAAGGTTAGCTGAGGGAAGAGTTCCGATTGGAATAGAAGAAAATACAAGAATCAAGTACAGACTAACTTAGACTTTTCCACTTCCATTATTTTCCTGGAAAATCATTTTCTACAACTTTTCCGGTCTCTGATGGCCATCTGTATGTTCTTATGCAGAGACTGCATCATTGACCAGAATGCTAGAATCGGGAAGAATGTTGTTATTGCAAACTCAGAGGTATGTTTCTTCAAATAATTTGTTGTGGGAGATATAGAAAAGACCAATGATTTCAGGATAAAAATGGTGGTTAAAGACATTGGAACTTTTCCTTTGGTTGTCAAGAAAATGGAGGAGAAGAAAAGAAAATTTCAGGATTTCAAACACCCAGTAAAACTAATTTTTTGTTTTTATATGAATTATCAGGGCATATAAAAGGCTGATAGATCCTCAGAAGGGTTTTATAACCGTAGGCTGATAGATCCTCAGAAGGGTTTTATAACCGTTCGGGTATTACCATCATATTGAAACTCAACAATCAAAGACGGAGTTACGATATGATGAGCATCACCATCATTTTCTTTTTCTTTGTTTTTTGGTTTTTTGATTTTGGCTCCATTAGAGTGGGAAGTGAGGATATCGTGAGATACTGATACGTGCATTGTATCTGACGATGGAAGCAAAGGTTGTAAAGAACTTGATACAATCAAATATACTAATATGCATATATCCCTTCTTGTTCTGTATTAATGCAAATTATCATTTTATACCCACATGACAAATATAAAGGGAGATTTTGAACATCCTTCAAAAATAATGTTGTTCGGAAAAATTTAAGATACACTTTTTGAAGAATAATTTTCATAATACCCTGCCAAACACATCTTTAGCACCATTTTTCGTTTTCTTCATGTTTCAATTATATTAAAATTAAATTAAATTTCAAAAAATGAAACTATATTTCTTCTTACCACAGGAGAACTGGAGAGGAATTGAGATAACTAGAACCTAAGGGGAAAAAGAAGTAGACAGAAAGGCAGAGATGAAGCAGAGGAGATGAAGCAGAGGAGAGAAGCATGGTTGTTGAACTCTTAGGATTCATGATTCGATATGAGTTTCAATCAAAATGATTCAATTCATGCCGCTAAATCTTAATTTAATTTCTATTCACTATAATTTCAATTATATTTGCATAATACATGAAATGACATTATGGTTTTATATGTATATACATATATACAATTTTGTTATGATATTTATTTTGTTTTAAACAGTGTGTGTGTATTTTATATGTATTATATAATTATATATTATGCTAAATAAAATGAAGCTTACAATTCATGTTCCTGATTTCAGCAAAATGATTCATGATTCGATTGACAATTTGAAAACAATGGAGAGAAGAACGAGGCGGATGAAGCTAATATTGAATGAAACTGAAACTGAAACTAAAATTGAATTTATAGAAACACCTCTATACATTGAAACATCATTTCATTTTCAAATCTCTGTAACACAAACCGTTCTTCTGATGTTATAATGCTAGTAACAAAACATTTATTGTCTAATAATGGTTTTCTACCTGTCCTCCCAGCTCCATGAAGATAATCCACTGCAGTTTTTGGCAGATCAAAGTTGTATATATGGCTTGTCTCTGGAAGGTCAACTCCTCTGGCTGCTATATCTGTCACCACGAGAAGATAGCTTCTTCCTTGTCTCATTTCCTGTATTCAAGAAGCGAATAACAAACATTTAGGTTGTGCTTGGATCATGGATTTGTGTAGGAATTTGTGGAGGGAAAAGAAAAGGGAAGGGTAAGAGCCTAATTTCAATAGATGTCAGAGAACGAACAATGCAGCAACCACCAAGTTTTCCAAAACCAAAATGAACGGAATTGTCTTGTAAAAAAAATTTTAATTAAAAAAAAAAAGAAGAAGAAGAAGAAGAAAAGAGAAAACATGTCATTCCTCTAGCTCAAACCAGTTCCCAAAGCAACTAATCTTACATGTGATTTGCTAGTGGTATGCCACCAAGGCAATCTAGGAGACGTGGCTTGGGATTTTTTTTCATAGAACAGTTCTATCATTTAATTAATAAAAAACAAGTTTCATTTTGTCATGTTTACTTTTGTATGTTATTATTCACATGATAAATCCATATAGGGCCAGCCTTGGGGTATGTTAAAAAATGAGGGCCTAATCCAACTTCTTCTAGTCTACAAACTTATCTTTTATTAATCATGTCACTAGAAAGATTGAATGGATTAATTATGTTGCCCATTCGGCATCACTTACAAGTTAGTTTTCAACCTTATCTATGACATGTTGGCCACGTTTGAACTGAATCTTCTAATGTGATATTGAAATGTAAGCATATCTATGAAGTGGCACATATGCCACATGTTTTATTTGTTTATTTAATTATATTATTATATAATTGTTATATATATGTTAATTAGTAAACAATTGGATAACTAATGTGAAACATGTCCACTACCCCATAAAGTGGTTTCATGGGAAGTTACAACTTCTTGATGGTGAAAAGTTATAAGGAGTTACACTTAGATCATGGGTCCAAGCATATCTATATATGTAACGTCCTCAAAATAATAACATTAAAACCCATCAACTTAGACATGCATTAAGAAAAAGAAACCAACCATCTTTCCATAAATCTGAATAGTTCTTATAAAAGTATTACATGTTAACAATAAAAGCAAATGTCCTACGGGCTTACAGCTTTCCAAGTTAACACTTGGTTACAAAAAGAAGAGTGCTAATGCAATACATATTAAGCCCTTGGCTTGAATTTACATGTAATACATCAAAAGAAAGTAAATAACAAGCTGTCTGTTTGCCTCTAGCCTCCCAAGCTAAGTCCTTGGAGGTGGCATGCTATCTGTACCTGAAAATGATGTCCCATAAAGGGTGAGCCACAGCCCAGTAGAAATACACTAAACTAGCCATGAACAATTACTAAAAGATTAGCAGTTGATAGATGGTCAACACAGATACATCCACATATATCACATTTCGATTTCATGACATTAAGTCCATGTTACATTTCACTTTCCATTTCTTATTCAACTTCGAGTTTGAAAACAAGGCTCAGTGCCCTGGCCAATTCATTTGATGAGATCATAATTCCCCACTAGAACACTTTCAAAATTCATGATGGATATACATGCTGGTGTCATATCTAAGTCAAACAAAACATTTTCATATTTCTCAACGATATACATTTTAGTGCTATATCAAATCAAACAAACAGTTCCCTACTTCACGAATGATAATGATATACATTTTAGTGCTATATCAAATCAAAACAAAAACTTCCATAAGTCTCAAATAATACACATTGTAGTGCTGTATTAATGAAACAAAAACACTTCTAATTTGCAGCCTGATACACATTGTAGTGCTGTATCACTGTCACACAAAATTCGGTTTAGAGGTCCAGCCCCTTTCTTCCAATAAACCGTGGAGTACAACCCCTTTCTCCTCCCACACAATACAATGTATATAAACAATTATCATATACAAATTCAATCTATCAATACACATTTTAGTGCTGTATTGTACTGACCACCATATTCAATGGCCTACTTAATTGATTAGTTTTAGTTTGCCTAATCATCATGCAGTGACTACAACAATCAAGACTATCCTCCACCAATAGCCCAAAGCAGTTATTTCTATACTGAAAATAAATGCACCAAATGGATATATAATCAACATTTCAACTAGGTAAGCGATGAACGAATCAAACTACACCCTTTAATCCCATACACATCCAATTCCAACATTCTCAATTTAATTCTTCTTTTCTTCAAATTAACTATACCAATTAATTTATCAATGTAATTAGAGCATTCCCCTAATTAACATCACAACCCTAAGGTTCCATTTTCATCAATAAACCAATATTGATCTCATTTCTCTATGCCAAACATGCATATAAGTTTATATAAACAAAACCCCAACTTTTGTAAAATTACACAAAGGCCCAAACTTTCTCAAAATTACCCAACAACCCCCAACTCATCAAAATACTAAAATTCAAAGACAAAACTCATGAGAAGAAGTAGGATATCCCTACCTCGAAGTTAGAGCTCAAACGGGGAAGTTCAAGAAAACCAAAATGCTCCAAACTCAAAGATCCACGGATCAAAATGGAGCCCTCGACGATCCACACACTTTTTACAAAGGCCGGAGGATAGTGAGACACTCTAAGTAGATCAAACCCTAGAGAGAAGGGAGTTTCTAGAGAGAGGAGCTCTCAAAATATCTTTTTAGAAAGTAAGAGAGAGAGAGAATGTAAAAAGTGATTTTAAAATGCCCAACTGCCAACTGATATACGACATTCCCGCTCGAGCGGAGAACACAACGCTCGAGCGTCAAGAACAAAAAACTAGGTACGCTCCAGCGCAAGAAGGCCCGCTCGAGCGCCAAGACACAAGAATAAAGTACATCCGCTCGAGCGCGAAAACCAGTCCGCTCGAGCGTAGATTTCCCCCTCCCAGAACTTACACCAAAAAGTACTACCCGCTCGAGCGCCAGAGTACCCGCTCGAGCGCGACCGCTCGAGCGTAAAGAAATTCGCTCGAGCGTAAAAATCACACCTGCAGAAGTTTTGCAGGGACACGAAATACTGGGAGCGTGCAATCTCCGCTCGAGCGCAACAAGGCCCGCTCGAGCGGAACGACCAAAAACCTAGCAATAAGATTTCAGACCAAGGTTCAACCCACCTGTTCGAAACATGCCCAACACATCCTAAAACTCAAACAAATGGAATTAAAGGACGACAACAAGATAGATACAACTACCAACTCCACGGAACCGAGTCTGGAATACAACAGAATAGTAAAGGGACAACCGGGATCACTATATATGGGTCCAAGCCTATCTATATATGCCTGTGATAACTATCAAAACACAGACGTCGTTTTTGTGAATAGAATAGGCTTGAAACTCTGTTCCTTCCACTTTTCTATATGGTTCTGTGGAAGTGTTTTATAAGTGGTTTTGTTTATATATTCAAGACTTGATCAATCAAAAATAAGATTCAAAGGCTTGAACATCATGGCAAAAGATATTCTTCTGTTATTAAATTATTTTAGTTCTCACAATTGGCATCAGAGCATCCTTCTATTCTGTTATTCAGCATTATTATAATTTTATCGGGGTCAAATCTTGTTTGATCCTAATAGTATCTCTGTTTCACATGATCCTCTGTTTCACTTTGTTTGATGTTACCGATATATTGTGA